TTCCAGCTCGTCTGATGCTGCTTGGCCTGCTGTGTTCATCCAGCTCTACACCGTGTTATCTCAGATTCTCCAGCATTGGCAGTTCCTATTAACTATGTTGATCTATTCCTTTTCTCTTTGTTAGCTGAAATGGAAGTGTAAGAAGGATGACGAATCAAATGGTGGCTACTCTCATGAATACCTCCTGTCAATTTTGAAGAAGGTAAGTTGTTCTCAAGAATTTTCCATTCAGGAGGATTTGAGACCAACAGGATTTTAAAAAGTCTTAACTGCCAACCCCGCAGCCTCCATCCTGCCGTTCCCGCATACCACCTCTGAGCATAGACTCAAGTTTGTCAGTTCAGATAGTAGCCCTCTTTTATTGACAAAGAAGCTTAAAGCAATTTAGGCATCCCTTCAGGTTTTTAAATCCATGCTACTCATCTACAGTTACTTACCAATGTAACTGTAAAGCCATTTTGCCAATTTGGTACTACTTATATTCCGTGTATATTTCGTTCCAGCCACCACCTTTTAACCGTATCAGCCTATCTTTTTGTTCTTTTCTTCCTCATGTTTAGTCATTTTCCCCTTTAAAGCATGAAAAGATGTTTGTGAGCCAATTTCTGAATAATCTGACCATTTTTCCTGATGCCCCACCCATAAATGTTTGCTTTTGTTGCATTAAACGTTACAGCTTGTCCTGGTAGGATTTGAATTCTAAACCTCTGGGTTGGTAACCAGTCAGTCGAACTACTGTGCCGTCAAATTGTGACCGTGACAGAGAACTGGTTCATGTTGAATGGTTAGAGTTGACGGGGGAGAAATCCAGATCTTTAACCTCAGTCTGAAATGTAGCAGGCGATCATTGCTTTTAGTTTCAGTTCATAAATTCACTGCAGTCAGAAAAGATTTTTTTTTTCTCTTTCAAGGGAACTCTGATCAAACTAAATTGAGGCTGTTGTTGAAAATAGAGTTGGCATTCACAGCTTTGAGTTATGTTGTGGGGTCTTTAATTGACTTGACTGTGCAATCATCAGTGATACCTCCACAGTTATGACAGCAAAGCAAAAAGGGACAAAGTAATAAGTATTGAGAAATATAAATTAGTACATTGTTAAAGTATTTGAATGCATGGCTCCATGATAACCTCCATTTGGAAGCAGCAGCTCTCAAATGGGAGATTGAAAATTTTCCTTACAAGATATCATAACTGCAGATTTTAGCAGCTTTGAGAAATTGGTGTCGTGGGAATAAGAGTATGAAACGATGAGATTAAGATGTATATCATTATTATCTTAAATGAAATAATTGGATACCTAATATTGAATTTTAAAATAATGCAGTCCAGTCAATTCATTTGTAAGCTGAACAATTAGACTTTATCAAATTGGTTGTTATCTTGTTATCATGGGGACCAGTAAAATTTATATCTTGTCACAAACTGTAGAATGGTATGCATGTTGGAGTCTGGCAAAGAACCTATTATCCACGAGGGATAGTGGCTTTTTCATAATAACTTGGGCTTAGCAGTGTGATGTATTTTAAAAATAATCTAAAAGGTTAATCCTACTGCTGAACTCCTCTGCAAGCCATTCGGTAAGAAAATCACACTCAGATTTTTGTATGATTTCATCTTATTTGAAAGCTATACACCTCTTGTAAGCATTTTCAGGTTGGTAACTGTCCAAGTGTGAATTTTCCAAGCACTGAACTTTTGAAGTCTATTTTCATATTTTGGCCTGATCTTTAAGCACCCCCTACCTTCTACCATCCAGTTTTGAACTTCCTGAAATGTTCCCACTCTAATTAAGAAGCTAGGTCCCAATAGACCTCCCAGAGTTCATGGCCATATGGTATGAAAAGGAGGCTTTCTTTGTTCAGTGCTGGGTAAACACACTACATGCTGTTATGCCAGGTCAGTGACCACAAGCTCAAAGGAAGGGTAGGAATCTGACACCTTTCCACATCCACTTGTAGAACATGTCTCCATATGGACATTGAGTGAGCATTATCTTAGGCTCAGACATGACCCATCTGTAATTATATGGTTTGCAGAGCCCTATGTTGGCACAAAAGTGAATTGAGTACCATAGAACACTGTCCCAGAGAAATGTAGTAGAAAAAGAGAGTAAGGAAAAAAGTCAACCAAATGTTTCAGTCTCATGTTGACTTTCAGACCTTTCTTTCAAATACTACAGCCCCGGGGTTTCTAGTTCCTGTGTTTGAAGGACAGTGTTCGACATCCATTGCATAGAGTATATGATATACTGAATATCAGAAATATCATGTCTATGTCAACAAACATAAAAAGGTACTGAGATCTGATGTGCAATGAGGAACTAATGGGCACCTGAGAAAATTGTAATGGGTGGCAAAGACCCTGTCCATTGCAGTTTCAATGTAATGCTTTAATCAGTTACCTTCTAGAAATAAAGTGTCATATAAAATACCCATCAGCCACTGCAAGATGGGCAGAGTGCTGTCACCTATTGAACAAAAGATACCGAGCCTCCCAATTTTTCTCATACCTATGGTTATCAGTTTCCAGGTACCAGCCGATACAAAATTATTCTTCTGCTGCACTCCCATTTCTTTCAAGGCTTGACCTGCGAGTGTGCATCGATGTTAACAAGATGCGGCTGTGTTCTAAGGTCAAGAATTTCAAGGGGTGGGATAATGAGCAGGAGGTTAGTGACTGGAGAGCACAAAACAAATAAATCAAATGAAAGAATTCAGTACGGTCCCCCTTCGCGCTAGAAATTTCCTTCCCCTTCCGTCCTAAACTCTCCACAGTTGGAGACCACTCTGACACTAATGATTTCCTGTGAAGGCAAAAGGTGCAGTGCTGACTATCGTCTCATGGAAAGAATGATATAACATCTGAAGTGCTACATTTGTTTTTGTCTTTGAAATCCTTTCCTTCTCTTTTAGCACCATACTTACTTTCTCCCCTATCTCGTCCTCTGTCCCTCCCAGTGAGTACAACGACAGTTAAGACAGCAATGCAAGAAGTATTGGAATTAGTGCCGATTCAAAACGTTAACAATTCATATAAAATAATATTACTAACTAGAACCTGTTACACTGTCAGGCATTTGTCATTGTTTTGAATACATGTTCTGTTTAACTGTTTGCCTGCATGTTTTTTGCCTCTAGCTTGGAGTTATGCTGTATGTATATAACTAAATGATAAGTGCTGTTGAGTAAATGCTGTAAAGTCCAAAACTGGCACAGGCTGGTGCTCTGTGCTGAGAGTAATCCAACAGAATTGGTATCAGATACTAATCAAGGGATATTTCTTTGTACAGTATGGTGAGGTTTTGAACTTGCTCATATCCAGTAAAAAGAAAGGCTCCGCTATCGTGGAATTCTCCTCAACCAAGACTGCTGTGAGTATTGCATACCTACCTTTCCAATGTGATCTGTGTAGTTTTCCTATAACCTTCCCATCCTCAACACCTATCAGATGCCTCAGTCAGTAGGTTATCTGTGCCACACAGGCCAGAAGATATCAGGCTGAGCAACAGGCTTGTGCTAAGATCTCAGCCAGAGAGACGCTGACAAAAGCTTTGCTTTCCTTGGTTTATGGTGGAGAGAGAAACATAGATCAACCAAGGTTCCTCCGTCAAATATCGTGATCCTAAGTAAAATGGTCTGTAAGTTTTTCCTGTTCACTTGTGGGATGTGAACTTTACTGGCTGGGTCAGCATTTATTGCCCATTCCTAGCTGCCCTTGAGAAAGTGGTGGTGAGCTTCCTTCTTGAATTGCTGCAGTCCATGTGCTATAGGGAGGAAATTCCACGATTTTGACCCAGAGACAGTGAAGGAATGGCAATATATTTCCAGGTCAGGATGGTGTGTAGCTTAGAGGGAAAGTTACAGGTGGTGGTGTTCCAGGTAACTGCTGCCCTTGTTCTACTAAATGGAAGTGGTTGTGGGTTGGGAAGATACTGTCTAAGGATCTTTGGCGAATTTCTACAGGACATGGTAAAGTAGTTGCTGCTAAGTGTAGATGGTAGAAGAAGTAAATGTTTGTGGATGAGGTGCCATTCAAGTGAGCTGCTTTGTCCTGGATGGTGTCAAGCTTCTTGAGTATTGTTGGAGCTGCACTCATCCAGGCAAGTGGAAAGCATTCCACCACACTCATGACTTGTACCTTGTAGATGGTTAACAGGCTTGTTTCAGTCAGGAGGTGAGCTACTTACGGCATTATTCCTAGATTCTGAACTGAGCATGTAGCCACAGTGAGTCCAGTTGAATCCAGTGAGTCCAGTTAAGTTTCTGGTCAGTGGTAACCCCCAGATGTTGATAATGGGGGATTCAGTAATGGTAACACCATTGAATGTCATGGGGCAGGAGTTAGACTTTCTCTTATTGGGGATGGTCATTACCTGGCACTTGTGTGGCATGAATGTTACTTATCACTTTTCAGCCCAAGCCCAAACATTGTCCAGATCTTTTTGCATTTGAACATGGACTGCATCGGTATCTGAGGAGTCACGAATTGTGCTGAACAATGTGCAGTCATTGGTGAACATCTCCACTTCTGACCTTATGACTGAGGGAAGGTCATTGGTAAAGGAGCTGAAGATGGGTGGGCCTAGGACACTACCTTGAGGAACTCCTGTAGAGATGTTCTGGAGCTGAGATGACTGACCTCCAACATCCCCTATAATCTTTCTACGTGTCAGGTATTTCTCCAACTACTGGAGAGTTTGCCTCCTGATACCCATTGCTTCAGTTTTGCTAGGGCTCTTTAATGCTACACTCAGTCAAATGCAACATTGATGTCAACGGCTGTCACTTTCACCTCACCCCTGGAATTCAACTCTTTTATCCATGTTAGAACCAAGTAATGAGGTCAGGAACTGAGTGGCCCTGGCAGAACCTAAACTGGGCATCACTGAGCAAGTACTGCTTCATAGCACTGTTGATGACAATTAGCCAGATTGAACTTGTCCTGCTTTTTGTGTAGAGAACATACCTGGGCAATTTTCCATATTGTCGAGTATATGCCAGTATTGTAGCTGTTCTGCAAAAGCTTGATTAGGGGTGCAGTAAGTCCTGGAGCACAAGTCTTCAGTACTATTTCTGGAATGTTGTCAGGGTATATAGCCTTTACAGTATCCAGTGCCTCATCATGTAGAATGAAATGAATTGGCTGAAGACTGGTATCTGTAATGCTGTGGACCACTGGAAGAGGTCACGATGAATCATTCACTTGCCACTTCTGGCTGAAAATTGCTGCAAAAGCTCCTGTTTTATCTTTTGCACTGATGTGCTGGGCCCTTCGTCATTGAGGATGGGGAGCCTCCTCCACCAGTGAGTTGTATAATTATCCACCACCAATAACAACTAGATGCGTCAGGACTGCAGAGCTTAGATCTGATCCGTTGGCTGTGGAATCGCTTAGCTCAATCACATGCTGCTTGTACTGTTTGATCGCTTCATCAGGTTGGCATATTTTTAGGTATACCTGGTATTGCACCTGGCAAGCCCCTCCCCTGCACTGAACACAGAATGAGGCTGCACTCTAGATGTTTTTGTGGACCAGTATCTTGCCCACTGTCACTATGGAAGAAGTCACTTGGAGAAGGGAGGAGAGAACTGGTGGCACCTGAGTAGCAAAGCTGAAGCAAGTTGGCACTCCTGGGAAAGAAGGGGAAGAAAAAAATACAAAGCAAAGAATGAATATGTAACATATTTGTCAGCTTAAACTGGTAATACTTTCAGGTGAAGAGACTGCTATCAATTTGACTGCATCAGAGCTTGGTGGCACACAGGTATTCAGTCAGCCTGTCTCCATGTTGCTGAGGGACACATACAGGACATAAAATGAACATGGGCCTGGTAGTTTGTGTCCCAGCTCAAATGCCTGTGCACACCAGAGCCCAGGAATGGTGGTGAAGTTCTTGGTAAGAGGTGGGTAGAGACATATAAACTTTGTTCTCACTAATTCCCCCCTACTATTAATCAGATATTAGTACAATAAATAACACTTTCTAAACCTCAAAAATAAAACAAAGAACTGTGGATGTTGAAAATCTGAGACAAAAACAAATTGCTGGAGAAACTCAGCAGATATGGCAGCATCTGTGGAGGGAAAGTAGTGTTAACATTGCAAGTCTAGTGAGTCTTCGTCAGAACTCAGAACGTGGTGAAGATGGGTCACTGAAATTGTCATGTTAACTTTGCTTTCTCTCCACAAATGCTGCCAGACCTGCCTGTGCCTTTCCAGACTTCTAAGTCTAATTAATTCCTGCTAGAGAAAGCTATATATTAAATGTATTAAAACATGTAAGACTTAGTTTGTCTGGGCTCATGGTACAAACTGCCAGTCAAACTGTTTGCATGATCCCTACAGGCTGTCGTCTGGACACCGCTGCACTAAACTGAATGATGAGGAGATGCTCTCAATGTCCCCCTCCTCGTTTTTGTTTTCTATATACACTGACTTTTGCTAGGCTGCAGTCCAAAGTAATCTTTTTGCAGGCGAGCCCAGTGACACCTTTTATAAGCGTCTTAAAACAGCAAGTGCAGTTTTACACCAGAAGATCAATGGTTTCGAGCAGATTCCACGTCCCCACTTGTGGTATGAGCTTTATTTCAACTAGCCATACTTTGTAAAACGCTCACTGCACTGTTTACTAGTTTCCCATGTTTATACAACCAATTCACACTCAATTAACCCCTATTTAAAATATCTATTACCTGCTCCTTGTTCCACTAGGTCTCAGGTATCCTTCCAGACCATATGGGATGACAAGTGCTGATTGATCATGGGTGACATCGCAGCCTATTCTACTTTGCTGTCAGTTCGAAGCATCAATATGGCAAATCAGATTGATTAGCACAAACTAAATCCTAATTTTTACATTGACCATAAAGTGACCCTATTTTCTATTATTTTAAAACTTATTCTTGATAGCGGTGCTATTTTGTCTTAAGATGATAAGATCAGAGACTGAAGTCCATTGCCGCATAATGTATTTGACTTCAGATAAAGTGAGTGAATGTTTTGAGTTCTGACAATGCACTCACCAGTAGAGCAAATACAAAGCTGTAACAGAGGGGAGGGTCAATTTAATAATTTATTAAAACTCTGCTAAGTTTCCAAGTATAAGAGCAGAAGAAAGCCCGAGTCTGCTGTGCCAATCTCTGAGATAGAATCATTGAATTCCTACAGTGTGGAAGCAGGTCATTTGGCCCATTGAGTCCACATTGACCCTCTGAGGAGTATCCCACCAAAACCTACCCTATTCCTGTAATCCTGCATTCCCATGGCTGATCCACCCAGTCTGCACAACCCCAGACACTACGGCAATTTAGCATGGCCAATCCATCTGACCTGCACATGTCTGGATGGAAACCGGAGCATCTGGAAGAAACTCATGCAGACATGGTGAGAACGTACAAACTCCACACAAACAGTCGCCTGAGGCTAGAATTGAACCCACGTCCCTGGCAGTATGAGGCAGCAGTGCTAACCCCAATCATGGCTGCTCTGATAATCATCAATCCACTCTGCTACTGAAACATATAACCATGGATTCCCTTACTGATTAAAAATCTGTTTCTTTCAGCCTTGAATACACCTAATGACCCCGTTTCACAGCCCTCTGTGGTAAAGAATTCACAACCCTCTGAGTATATAAGTTCTTTCTCATCTCTGTTTTAAATATGTAACTCTGTTCTGAGATTGTGTGCAGCAGTGTCCTGAAAACGCCACTCCCTCACTGGGAAGTCATGCTGTGATGGAGAACTAAACATATCTTGCTTGCATGTTCAGTGCCGCAGTGGGGAGGGTATTTGGGCCTGATACATAGATCTCTTGTGGGAAAATGATCAGTGATTTAAGTGTCCTCATTACAGGCTTGTACATCAACTCCAAAAATTATCAATGTCAACTAATCCACGATTTATTTTGAATAGGAACTTGCTTTTAAAAATGAGACTGGGCTAACAAGTAACCCATTAAAGATCTCCTGGTTGGAAGGATCACCTCCTCCAAATACCACAAGCAACTCTGCATCATCATCTTTGGAAACAAGCACATCTAATCTGTTCCAGGTAGGATAATGTCGAAAATGTTTTTTTTTTCTCTTGCTCATGTGGACATCACTGGCTTGCCCATCTCTAATTGACCTTGAGAAGGTGGTGGTGAGCTGTTGGCTTGAACCACTGCAGTCCTCAGGTGTAGATACAGACATAGCTGTTAAGAAGGAAGGTCCAGGATTTTGACCCAGCGAAACTGAAGTAGCGGTGTATGACTTTGAGGGGTAATTGCAAGTGATGGGATTCCTGTGCATCTATTGTCATTGCCCTTCTAAGTGGTAGAGGTCAAGAGTGTGGAGGGGGAACATCAAAGGAGCTTGCTGCATTGTTTATTGTGAATGGTATGTGCTGTTGCCACTGTGTATCTGTAAAGGGAGTGAGTGTTGAAAGTGGTGGATGGGGTACCAGTAAAGCAGGCTGTTTTGTCCTAGGAAATGTGGAGCTTCTTGAGAGTTGTTGGAGTGACACCATCTGGGCAGATGGAGAGTATTATATTGCACTTGTGGCTTGTTAATGGTGGACAGACTTAGGGAAAACAGGAGACAAGTTACTTGATGCAAAACTGCTAGCTTGTGTCTACTTCTTATAGCCACAATATTTATCTGGCTGGTCCAGTTGAGTTTCTGGTCAATGGTAACCTCCCAGAATGTTGATAGTGGAGAATTCAGAAATGGAAACACCATTGGTGTTCAAGGTAAGATGGTTAAACTCTTTCTTGGTTGAGATTGTTCTTACCTGACACTAAGCAGACCAAGTCTGGATGTTATCTTGGATTGTTCTAAACATTGTGCAATCATCGGTGAGCATCCCTCCTCTGACCTTATGATGGTGGGAAAGTCATTGATCAAATAGTTGAAGGTGATTTTGTCCTCTCACTCTTGCGATTATTCCTTTTTGTATGTGTCTTCGGAAACTTACAATGCCCTAGATCTTTCATGGTTTTGGGCAAATCTCTATCACTCATTGCTTACCATCAGTTTATAGTGAAGCAGAAATCTTTATCTAAGCAATGCAGTCAGGCTATTCAGATGATCTAGTGAATGAAGATGTCAGTGATGTACACTGCTAATCTTTATGCTGAGAGAGTATAAGTTTGATTCTTGTCCATGACGAACAAACTAAACTCAGCTGTTATAGCAATAAGACTTTCACAACTTGTCTCTGTCTCTGCGATCTAAATATGGGGAAAATAAACCATGGATTCTTGTCCTGATCACTCTCTGTGTCCCCTATTGGAAGATTTTGTGTGTGTGTGTGTATTGAGTAAGGACAATAATAAGCTTGGCTGTATGTCTCGTACTAGTAGAAATGCCTGGTTTTGGACTCGGATAGACAATGGCCGTGTAAGCAAGGTACTGAAGGCAAATTGGTGGCATAGAACTACACCTCAACAAGATCCAGTGTCTGCAAGAGAGAAAGAGAGAAAATTGGAGAGCTGTTTTGAATAAGGCTATGTAAAAATCTAAAATGTTTGTGAGGTACATAGGCTTCAACACACTTCAGACAGTATGTTTCTGCTATAAACATGTTGAATATATTCAAGTCACTGGTACTGTTTCAAATGGAATCCTTGCAGACAATTTAGACAGGGCCCCTTTCTATCTGAGAACATCTGAAGTAAAATGCCATCAGGCTGACTGTTGATAGGATTGCTGAGTCAGGAGATTATTGGTTCAAACACCACTCCAAGCCATAAACTCATAATCACAGCTGACAGTGTAAGGTAGTACACTGAGGTGGTCTTTCCTTCTTTCAAGAAGGACAGGGAGCTCTCTGTGTTTCTGTGCACAGCTGTGTGCATGTTAATGTATATGCAAATATGCTGGATTCAGCTAATCTATATTGTAGAAGTAGTGCACCCTAAATTGGCGTGTGTTACCAGCAGTCTCTTATATCTGTATGAATTTGCGAATTTGAGGTTTTAGCCTGACAGCAAATGCCTTGTAATTAACCTTGATGAAATCAACCAGTAATAATTTACAGCAGTGAAACTTTGCAGTCTGGAAGGGGCACAGCCTACACTTGTGTGTGGATTGCTTTCCACTTTATGAACCTAGAAATTTACAACCACCTTGTCACCCACATTATTTCTCCACCAAACGGCAGTTCAACTTTGACTGGCTTGAGTGAACAGCTGCCTTAAAGGGAAAAGCAAGTCTCTTTATTCTTTCATGGGATGTGGACAGTGCTAGTAAGGGGTCAGGTCCCTTCCCAAATTGAGAGAATATTCTCATATGTGGAAATGAGTGGCTTGCTGTGTCAGGTCAGTGGGCAGTCAAGAGTCAAATACATTGCTGTGGGATTGGAGTGACATGTAAACAAGACTGGGTGAGGATGGCTGATTCCTTTCTGTAAAGGATATTTATGAACCAGGTGGATCTTTACAACAATTTGTGATAGTTTCATGGTCTCCAGTACTGAGACAGGCTTTGTGGTCCAGATTTCTTGATTGAATTTAAATTCCACCATCTGATGTAATGGGATTTGACCCCGTCCCCAGCCTGGGCCTTTCGATTCATACTTGACAAAAATTCTCCAATTTCCCTGACTATGCATGAACAGTGCTAAAGACGACAGCTGCCTTTATAAAACATGCATATATTAAAGAGAGAATATTTTCAGAGAGAATGCGAAACATATATTGATTAAGTACATTAAGGTGAGAATTGATGAGTCCAGTTAACTAGAAGGCAATAATTTACAGCCAGCACCAAAATTAGAAACAACTTTACACTGAGATTTGTTAAGCATAATAGAAATTAATTAGGTGGGTTTTATAACGAAGAAGCAATCTACACTGACTGCACCACCAAAGTAGTGAAGGTTGAGGCTCGATGGACTAACAGCCTCATCCTTTGTACTGTGATGTTATTTGATTTTATGTACCAAGAACAGGTTGGGAATCATTGATATCATTTTCATAAATGACCATTTCAAAAATTTAACTTGCTGGGACTTGTACTTACTTGCATAACCTAGGGTGTAAAATTAAGCATCATCCCTCATAAATATGAGAATTTTCTCATATATTTTAGAAGTCACAGTCTGCCTGCAGATGAAATAAATTGATGTTTCACTGATATGTATCATTAAGCAGCGATTTAGTTAAACTAATTTTTGCATAGTAATAGAATATCAAAAAGATGTTGCATTTTCACACACTAGTGAGTCATTGTGTTGTGTGACACTATCACCGTGCTAAATCAGAGAGACTTTTGAACAGATCTATTAACTCAAGACTGGTAATCCATGAGGCACTTTGGGCCATCATCAGCAGAATTGTATTCCAACACAATCTGTAAGCTCAAGGCCTTGCATACCCCCCCTCTACCTTTATCATCAAGCAAGGGGACCAACCCTGGTTCAATGGAGAGTGCAGGAGGGCATGTCAGGAACTGCACCAGCTGAAAAACAGGACCACTAGCATGCCAAACAACATAAGAAGCAAGTGATAGAGCTAAGCGATTCCACAACCATCAAATCCCAGGTCTAACTCTGCAGTCCTGCCACATCCAGTCGTGAATGGTGGTGGACAATTAAATAACTCGCTGGAAGCTCTAATATCCTGAATTGTGATTGAGTGTTTAAGTGCAGACTAAGGTGTTGTTGCTGGAAGCTTAACCTCTGGGAAGTGGTTTGTTCTTAACATCAGAAAACTTCTAAAACAAAGTGTTTAAGATAAAACTACTGAAAATTTCCAGCCTTAAAGCTTACATACTGCTAAGAAAAATGCAGTAACTGCCAGTAGTGAACTGTCTTTTTCAGAGCAGCTAAATCTTAGGGACTTTTAAATCATTCTCACTCAAGACTATAGGTGCAAAACAACATTTGAAATGAGACTTTATTTTGAAATGATAAATTCAATAATATATGAAAACTATACCTGTCAAAAGCACCAGGCATGTCCACAGCATGGTCCATGCCCTATGAAGTAATGTAGCTCGTTTAGCTCCATTTTTGTTAGTGTTCCAATTTTAAAATAGCTAGCAGAAAAGCTTTAGTTTTAAAGAAATTCAAAGGTTAGTTTATTGTGCAACTATTGCTGCAAGTTATCAAGGAAAAGCCATGATAAAGTTGTTAGATAAAACACAAAGATTAAAAATAGGTACAGATAAAATAGTTCTAAAGATGAAAGTCACTTAAGTCAATTACTCACTCAATCCCTCCCTTGCTTCATCCCTCCAAAAAGCCAAGTCATGTTCCTTTTAAGACATTGATACTTTGAAAATGGCCCTTCTGTCACCTGTGGTACTTGTCCTTTGTTCTGTTCAATGCCCAATCTACATCCTCATTATGAACTGACAGTGAAACTTCATTTACTCCTGAACAAGTTCACAGTTAACAATGATTACATTGAGGATTGTCTTTTATCCACTCTGAAGTGGAAGCCCAGACTGAAATTCACAATTCTGTCTGGGCCTGAACTATTTCAAAATATTCTTTCTATCCTTCCAATTTCCAAGTTGGTTTAAAAAAAACACCTTAAAACAGTGGTTTTTAAATTTCTAGATCATAATTAAACTTTTTTTGATGCACAAAATAACCTCACTCATGGGTTTGTATGGTTGGATCAGGCTTGGATGAGAGCAAGCTAATTGAAATAAAGTTCAATTAATTGACCAGTGCCTCTGCAGTCTTCATTAAAGCATTCCGTCTGTACTCTCGTCAGTAACCCAGCCTGAGAACAGGGAAAGAGAAAAGAACATTGTCCTTTTAAGATATTTTGACAGCACTGATGGGTGGTACATCTTCCCTTCCTGTCCACCACCCTCAATGTTTCCCTTCCTCTGTTCTTGTATGAGAAAAGGTTGCCCTGCATTTCCTTGTTTTTCTTTCAGAAATACATTTGCTGTGTTCATCATTTCGAGGAAGGATAAAAATAGTGTTTCTGGAAGATGTTCAAAGCGTTCTCAAGTTTGAGTGCTGGCCCAGCTGAGTCTGTAGCTTTCCCACTGACAAATGCCTGATCTGCCTTTCATCAAGGCATGTCAAGGCCACCTGCAAAAGTGCTTCCTCTGCACTGC